CAATCAGGGATAAAACAATTATTCTGTGTTTCATATAAACCCTTTTGGTTTGTACAAGAATTTATGACAGTAAATTACTTTTAGCCTTTTCCAACGATATTAATTCAATGTTTAGGAGAAATAGTTTTTGCTCAATTTTCGTCGCGCTGCTAACTTATACCTAAAAACATAAACTAAAATACATTTAAAGCCCTTCATTTTACTGTCATTACGTAATAAACTATCAATTAACCCAATGTTTGCCAAAGGTTGAAAAATGCTATAAATGCAACACATTTATAGTTTAACCATAATGCTAAGGCAATCTTATTAAAAATTCTGACACTCCTCGAGATTTTGTCACTTTACACAAAAAAGAAGTAGAAGGGAAGAAGAAGATGAAGAAGAAGAACTATCCTTCACACTTGTTTAGAGCTATCCTTACAATTTTATTTTAGAATGACAAGAACTATCCTTTACATTTTATTTTAGAAAAGCCAATGAAATGCACAGAATTTAGTTTATAATTTTAAAATAACCAATGAAAATTCTTCTTACATTCAGTTCGTCCTTGTTAATACATCAGGAAGTCAACCTGAAAACAGACCGACCTTCGGCCGAAAAAACAAACAACAACAAGCGGTGCCAAGCTGCCAATAACCACTGCTTAAGCTTCCATGTCTATCATTTCTAATAATCGAGCAAGCAATAAATGCGAGGCAATTGAGCGACTTTCCGGATTCTTACGATTCTTAACGGTACTGTACTTTACCCTATGCTTGCATATATAGGAATTGTACCAATAAGGTGATCACACTTAAACAATCAGCTGTCAAGCCTCTTGATCGCTTACTCGAAATTCTCCTCTTGATCCAATGAGTGAATTAATCCGAGATGAACTTGTCAAAGCAAGAATTCCCATAAAAGACAAACCCTCTTACTTAGATTCGTCCCTGAGATTAGTCCATAAATGCTTATATCCTACTGATGGGGAAAGAAAACAGATCAAATAAATAAATAATAAAATAATAATAATAATAATTATAATAATAAAAACCCTTATGCATTGGCTTTGTCTAGAACCTACAGCATTCCTACCAGATTGCACCATTAGTTGAGACTGACAGTTTCGAAAGTCGTTATTCCGACTTATTAACAAATGTGTTAATAAGTTTGAGAATTTTTTTTTACTCCTTAAGTTTGTTAAAATAATAAAATGGATCTAGATAAGTACGTACGTCATTCAACTCTTTGTTTTAATGTATGTATCCCGTGCACTGATCGAAATATTTCTTGCGCATATTATACGTTTTGTACTTGACTCTGAATAATAAGTAAATAATTATGATAAAGTTATGAATAGCTTATTCTTCGAATTTTGATAACTGGCTCATTGTTTTCATTAAATTCTGACAAATCTTATAATATCAAGAACACATAAAAATATATTAAATGAAGATATAAATCTTATAAAAAGGTTTATGAAGAATATTTGAAAGCTTTACATAAGAATTACAAAACACATACACAAGGAAAATCGTAAACGTAAAAAGAGATGATGCTCACAAAAGCTTTAAATGGAAAATTTGAAAACCGCAAAAAATCTTTGAGGAAAAGTGAAATTTATAGAGAAAATAAGTCTTCATTTAAGAGTAATAAATGTCAATTTTGTCAATCCATATATAGAAACAAATATTCTGTTTTAACATTCCCACATAAGCTGTGATAAATGGTGTATTCAATTTTCAGAGAAGGATATTTTCAGATTTGACTTTTCAAAGAAAAGTCTTAAACCACTTAGTATAAATAAGACTAGCCGCTGAACATTTGTTCATTTTGCGCCTTGCTGATTATATCACAGAAGCCTAGAGAGGATATTAGTTTCAAGGTAAGTCATTTATACTTTATATAGAAGATAAATTCTCTTTTGTTAAACTTTGAATTAAATGAAGATGTCCAGAATGGTGACGAGATATTTTTAGCTGAACCATTACTTTATGCTTTTGAGATGATTACTGATTTATCCGTGAAATTTCTTCTTTTTTTTTTTGGATAATTTCACGGGGAAAATTATCATAATATAATTTCTCACTTTCAAAGAAGAGACTACTTTTTAAAGATTTTCCTAATGTGGTACCTCACTTTTATTTATTGTAAGAATTCCGACCTATCCAGGGCTGTTTAGAGCAAAACTGAAATTGATAAATAACATGTTTTCAAACGTTTATCAAAAAAATAAAACTTACTTCAATTCATCCAATATACCGACCACCAAATTCGTCTGATAAAACAGTCTGATAATGACATTTCCTTCATCATGCAAAAATATGGCACATTTAAGTATCCCACGAGTAATAACTGTAAAAACTGTGTTAAATCAATGACAGTCATCTCCTCGAATGATAAGAATATAACCAAGCGTTCGTAAGAAAGACTTTCAAAAGATCCCGTATTTCCAAATTCCTAGTCGCTTCTTGAATGTATATGCATATATCAACAATTTGTTATCGCCTGTAACAATCAAGGAGTAAGTATTCTTTCTTATGATAAGTGTAAAATTATCAAATCCAAATGAAATCCTTTCGAATCAAGCACATTTTTTTTATTCTTTCCTCGCTTGAAATAAACAAATTTTAAAAATGGCGGCCGATTGATATGGACCTGTATATCCTTCCGCTCTATTAGTGTAAACATTTGAAACAGAATTAAGTTCTGATGTAACTTTTCAATCTCTTTGAAATGTTTGTTTTAAAGATTAATTATAGTCGCCATTTAACTTTAATTTTTTCGATTTTTTTCCGCTAAGGACTCCTTGTATTTATGAAAAATTCGTTTAGCATTTAGGCTACCAGTGAGGTTAACATATTTCAATATTCAAGTTTTCAAGTTAATATTGAGGAAAATTGATTTAAACTTGTTTTTACAGAACATTTTGTTTGTTTGTTGTGTAAGATGTGATTTTATTTCATCTCGTGAACTTCAAAAAAGTATTCTCACTCGTCGCTACGCCACTCGTTGGAATACTGTTTTTAAAGCTCACTCAATGAAATAAAATTTTGTCTTAGTAATACACAGAAACAAACAAATATCCTCTATATATTATCAGACAAGTCCTGGCGTTATTTTTTGTCCCAGAATAAGACTAAACCTTAAAAATCTTCTAATTCTCTGACATCTTTAAAAACGAAGTATAAAAACATATCTTGCAAATCAAATAAATATCTTCATAACTCTGTCATTATGTTATAATACTTATTATGCAAATATATTTCTTATATAGTTATATGATAAAATCTTAATGGAATAATTTTTAGTGTTTGAGTTTCTATATATTGTTCAGATGGCCACATTTAAAATTAACATATGTTATTTGTTTTCTACGATGGTATATCTCAATGTGTTACGTACTTAAAATAATATATATAATGATTCACTTTATTTTAATTCAATTTATTTACTATGCAACTTTAGCTAGAGAAACAACTGGTAGCTAATTCCAACTAATTTCAAACATTAATTATAATAGTCTTAATATTTATTTCATGACTGTGATATTATATATGTAATATTACTTTTCTCGTATTTAGATGTTTTATGCATTTGTTAATATGTTAATATGTTTATATGTATGTATACACGCCATTATTGTTTATGGCAATAGACATTATGTTTGTGCCTTAATAAAATCTCTTGAAAATCTCTTTATTTTAAGTAGGTAACGCATTGAGATATACCATCGTAGAAAACAAATAACATATGTTAATTTTAAATGTGGCCATCTGAACAATATATAGATTAATATTCACCGAACAATAAAGTCTGGTCAGCTACATATCAGATTAGTACGGAAGAGTATACTGACCCCCCTTATATATTTTTTATGCCTTCAAGAAAAAAAACCTTTGTATAATACATATCTTTAAAAACTTGACAAGTTATATAATATCTAAAATAGATCTTGCAGAGTTTTATCTGTTACTATACACCATAAATCACAAATATGCATTGTTTCTTTGATGATATTTGGAAATTTAAGAGAACAGAATGTTCTTCTTAACATACAGTAGTTGTACACTTTAGCATTTATCATATGAATCTCCTGAAAAAAGATGTATGAATTTATAAATTAAATTAGATTCTCTTGGTATAATAAGTCGCATCTATTATTATAATATTAAATGGCCCTTTTCTCGTTTTGATATAAAAAAAAACATGTATAATCATTAAAAAAGATGTAAGAAATATTTATAGTATAAGTTACTCAAAGTTTCAATACCATTTATATAATAATAATATATATCAGTTAAATTATAACATTTTATATAATACTGGCAAGATACTCGTGTACAGCAAGCGTGTTATCATAACGATCAACTTATGTTAGGAAACATATAAAACATCATCTAAGCTAAAAACTCAGGTAAAGAATATATATATTATATATGATTATATCATCTCTATATCTGTCAAACAAATAATGCCTCGAAAACATACTGTTTTCAAATAAATAAAAGCGTTTACTCCAAGACAACGTCTGCTTCTTGAGGTAGACTTTCAATGAAAAGAAGAAAAAACATATTTCTTATAAATAAAAGTAAGGTCTTAAGAAAGACTTAAGTTTATAATACGTATCTTTACTAGTATAGTAGCCAAAAAACAGAAAAGATCAATATGAACAATATATATAACTTTTAAAAAACCATTACGAACTATGTTGTTATCATGTATCGTCGTATTTTAAACAGGCATATAAAATATATAAGGGGGGTCAGTATACTCTTCCGTAGATTAGTGACGTGTCATACCAATTTATTTAAGATTAAATTTCATTTCTTTTCAGACAAATTACGTATCATATGAACTACTAACCAGATCAGTTACTCCTTATTTATCTGCCCAAATGTTGTATTACATGTATCTAACAACAATAAATATTTTGTTTTTCGTTTCAGTCTTTTGTATTCATATTTTTTAATATTTATATATGAATGGTAATATTTAATTATATTTAAATGTTTGTAGACCATGGGTATATTCAAGCATTGTTATGAAGCTTACCTAGAAGCGTGTCCATGCCGATTTGATTGTAACATGACCTTTAGAAGGTTTACACGTGTAGGGATGGCGTTATTTCTACTTATTACGATACCACTTCAGGCCGCTGGAATGTTCACATCAAACTGGGCGGAGACAAAACAGTGTTCAAACTTTGGTTTGGTTAATACCAAATGTGAAAATCTCACACGTAGTGGGAAAGATGGTAATTATTATTAATTCAAATAAGATATAATACGCATTAAATTCTGTAATGATAATATCTTTATGTAAAATATCAACAAGCAAAGAAATATTACAAAACTACATAAATCAAAAGCTGCAAAAGAACCATGTCAAGTCAGATTGGAACATAAAGTTGACTCCCGGCTCCTCAACCGTCATGTCCCCTTTAAGTTACCAGTGTTTAATTGTTAATTGATATCATTTCATATCTAAATTTTTCTTATTAATATTCAATGCATTTTTTTTTAAGAAAAGGACTTTACATTTTTTTTATTGTCAGCTTTGGATTCAAGCGCCTTTGGATTTCAAACAGTCTCCTTCATCATCCACCTAGCTACTGCTGTTGTCTACATGTGTGTGTGGTGCTCCTTTTATAAAAGGTTCCAAGAAAAAAACGACGAGGATGAAATTGCCATTGCAAAGTTTTGCTTCCTGTGTTTCCTGCCGGCAGCGCTCTTCCTTGCTGGTATACCTTGTTACTTTTACAATCAAATTGAATCAATCAATCAATCAATTGATTGGCAAATGAGTAACTTCTTGGAAACTATTGAAAGAATACCATAATATAAAAAGATTCTGATGAATAAAAATATAAGCAATTATGTGGCATAATTGGCCATTAAGTTCAAGAAAAAAACAATGAATTACATTTCGCATCTAATCAGTGAAAGCAATTACACACAAAATTTCAGCCAATTTATACGACCTTTTGTTATTACTTTATTTTCAGGACTGCTTAATTTCGTCAGCTGCATGATTGTGAGTAACAAATCATTGGGACAAGACTTCAAGCTAGGATATTCCTATTATCTTTGTTTAATTACCAGCATCTTCATGATGATCATTTATGCTATCTTCATTATTGGTTACTTTATCAAAACGTACGCCAAGCACTGTATGTGCCGGTGTCATTTTGAAGATCCATGGAAAACTCATGCAAGGGCAACGGAGAGAACAGCACAGGGAATAACTATCGAGAAAATGCAACACACCGGCAACATTTAAATAACAGAGGACATAAAACTTTACACGAAGGGCAGAGAATGAAGTCAGATGTTAAAATATCAAAACATTAACACGACCAGTTCATATCTTAAATAACTTCGTCAATTCAGAAGCCAGAAAGCTAAAGCCTAAAACCGAGCGTATCATTAACATTGACTTAAGAAATGGGCATATAAAATGATTTAAAAAATACACATGTAACTTACAAAACAACTAACCTGGATAAAATAAGTTCCACGTTTTAAGTTTTTATGACTCTGTAGCCATTTTGTCAAGTTTGCAACCATTTCGCTCGCTTGAGGGAAGTGTGAAACCACTTCACGTCCTGAAATTCGTGTACAGTTTCTAAATTGTTTTACATAGCATAATACAAAATTTGATATTTTAACACTAAACATAGGAGGAAAATGGTTATAAACGTGTACCAACGTATATTACAAGGTAATAAGTGAACTCTTGTTGTTTATCTTTAATGTGTAGTGTGCGTAACAAGGAGAAATAACACTTCGAATTGTCTGATATAAGTAGATTGAAGAGAAAAATCAAGATCAGAAATATGCAAGTTACTACTTATAATCTAGCTTTAGACAAATGCTTGGAATCTTGAAATCTTGCTATCATTCAATATTTCTTTAACGAACCTTTTTCGTTATTGTTTATTAGATTTAGTATACTATTTCTTTCTGAACCATTGAAGGAGAATGCTTGATCTATTTTGTTTCTAGTGGTTTGTCTTGTTTTTTGTAGATAGTTCCCGATTTTAACAATATTCACCCCTTTGCCAAACACGGCAAAAGAGCCAGTAGGGATCAATATTCTATATAATATAATTGACAAAGATAAAATCGCAAATATAAAGCAACAGAGTTTGCTGAATTGTCAAGTTCTTTTATTTATACATATGAAGAATAAGCTATCAAATTTCTATAACATGTATGTAAAAAAAATTTTATCAGTTTTTGCATGAATATTAATAAAATAAGAGACGATCTCAAAGGCGCGGCCAGGGGAGGTAATTATAGCAATTTCTATGTGAAAAACATGTATTGTTAAATAATAGGCTTAAGTTTAATCCAAGTATCTAATCAATTTTTAAATGGTAGGTTTACAATAAAATGAAAATACACAAATGACCTACTATGCATTTTGATAATTTTGTTAAAATAGGAGTAAAACTTTTCATTACACACATAATTTTATATACATGTATATTCTTTAATTACTCTTTCATTTTGTTTGGCAAAAATGCACGATTTGCGCATGTATAAAATGATGTGAGAAATCTAGAAAGTTGATATTCTATAGCACATTCAAAGTATATTTATATAATATACTTCAGAATATATTTTACTTAAATTGATCACTTTTATCCATGTATTGCAAGTTGTAAAAATGTGTGCTAATCCATGCTGTGAAAGTTAATAATGATTGATATTTTCATGACTTATTTTGACTTGTATAATTATAATGTATATACATTTTAAAATATATAATATATTTGGGTTGTTATCTATGCAAAAAAGCAGAAATATGGGGACACAAACCACGCCAAATTCTCGAACAAATACAATGTTCATTTTTTGTAAACGTGAAGGTTGCATGAATCAAAATGCTGCAAATTTTTGTCGCACTTAGTGAATGTGGTTAGACACCCACTATCTGTGACATATACACATGTATCACGAGATATACTAAGTATTGGACCAAATTAACATATATGCCCACATAAGATACCTTTAACAGTTATGTTATATTAATCAAAACAGTGTTATGTTATGTTAAAACGTTTAGACGAAGCGGGTCGTGTTTCATGGGGAGAACATGTAAAACACTTCCTATATCAATACAGATCTGGCTACAAAGTAGGCAATCAAGCGGTTTTTATTTGTTTGGGTCGTCAGACCAAACAAATAATGGTAGCGAAATTTCAGAGTCTAATGTTGTTAATTGCAAACGCCGAAAGTAGTCCACTTTTTTGAAGCGGTTACTTCCCTTTATATGTACACTAACACCGAAAAATGCAGGGGAGATCACTGCGTAAAGATGGTCAAAGACAGGCGAATTAATTTTCAAGCAAAATATTTCCCGAATGGTCGAAGATTTCTAATATTGTTTTATTGTATTTTCTGATCGAAATTAAGTAAATACAAAGCGGACATTCAACCTCTGACACAGAAGTTCACAACAAACCTAACAACAAGTAGTTCTCAAAACAGCTTAAAACTAGCGATTTAAAAGAAAGAAATATTTTTATTTTGTTACAAGTATCCAACAAATAACAACGCATTCAAAGTTTAAAAATAGCGTTGGCTAATAGAATTGTCAATAAATGCACAATCACAAATTACGCGGATGAATATGATTTTATCAATGAAAATACTATTTTTAGCGCTGTCGATTACCGAATACTACACAAACCGAGTAGTGGAATATATAGATTCTACATGTCGGACTGTTTGGGCGAGAAGATTTTCGCTAAATTATTTACTTCAATTTTAAACAACAGGTTTATCCTGAACAAAATACCTCGAAATTAATAAGGATAACAAACCCGAAATGCAATGGAAGTTCTAAATCTAGAATGACCTGATGTTATTCAGATATTATTTGTATAACTTCTCCGTGGTGCAGGGGTAACGCGCTCGCTTCAGGAGTGAGAGGTCTGGAGTTCAAATCCAAGTCGAGGAAACTTTTTTTTTAAATTCTTTTTTAAGTGTCTTTGTTAAGGAAGTAGCCATGATATGCAAGGATAAAGTGTGACTGTCGTAAAAAAATGAACATAAATGATTTTTTGATGCATCTCTAGTTATGCAGAATTCCGTATGTATCAAACTCTGGTGCCTTGCAAAATGAATTATAATACATAAAAATAAACTTATACAGGAAAATGCATACAGATATACAGTACGATTAAGATTGCAAAGATCAGAAAATACCACAGAACTTGCATCCCTTTGATTCTTTATAAATATACATGCTTATAGTAAGCTCCAGGATTATTTACATCTGTGTTAAACAACAGTTAAAGTCGTTACAAGCCCTAATTTAGAATAATATGGTTTTCTTCAGGCCGTTCACATATAAATTCACCGTGGCTGAAGGGTTTTCGCGCTCGCCTATGAAGCGAGAGGTCTGGAGTTCAAATCCTAGTAAAGGCAAACCATTTTTTTTTTTTTCAAATTGTTTAAGTCAAATAAACATTGGATTGCATATCAGTGTTGCAATAAGTCTTATAGCCAATTTACTACAATTAAAACGCTGGAAAGCATTGGTGGCACTATACATATAATCTCACAACCTGCACCTTTCGTACATTCTGAGACCCAAACAAATTCAGCGCCTTTTGTGCTTTGATTCTAGGTGCATTCACACTGAGACTAAAATATTGCGCATACCAGAACATTTAAGTGAGATCAAGAACTCTTCCAAATCATTGAGTTACAAACTGTATAAAAGTGCTATTAATGCAGAGTTATACCTATCAATGCCATTATCGTATTTACAAAAGCGCATGCTGGCTAATTTTCGCTGTTCATACACTCACATGATAGAAAAGGCCTTACTAGAGGTTATACGTTTTGTACATATTGTCACAGAGACAATGTTTATTCTATTGAAAACGAAGTGCATTTCCTAGCTGATTGTTTGCACTTTGTACAGTGATATTAGATAAACTTATTTTAAAGCAGAATGGTTAGTTGCTCCATTAACTAATGAGTTATTTAGTAGTATGAGTGATAATAACTGACAGCATTTTCTCTTTACAAAGTATTTATTAAGAGCTTTTGAATTAAAGGAATCATTAAAATCAAACTAACCTACATCTACACCTCCTTCATTGTCAAATATCTTCCTAATTAAAACACATTTATATCTCTGTTCGTAAGACAAATACTTAAAACATTTTCTATATAATATGTATGGTATGATTTTGATTAAAAAAATGAATAACAACGCTACTATATAACTAAAGTTGATGCCATTTTGAATGTATTTTGAGCCGAAGACATTACAATGCAATATATCGTTGTTGTTATTGAACTGTGAAAATGTGTTAGAAAATCTTATAACATGCACAAACTAACACTTGACCCCATTTACAACCCATTTAAGATCTATCGCAGGATATTTGTACGTAATTCCTTTGTGAATAACAGTTAGCACACGCACCAGAGTAAATAGTAAATATCGGTTAAACCGACATGATATTTTCATATAAAGCAACTCCACTGAGGTCCAAAATCTTACGTAAATTTCTTACACTATACTTACTGAAAGAACAAATCGCCGGTCCAACTAGCATCAACTTTACGCGGCCTCATCCTGTAACTATCCTTCCGTTAAGCCTCTGAGTCATTTATTACAGAGAAGGAGGCAAACTGAGACATGCTTCTATATCATTAGCGTTCATTTAACAATGGATCAGTGTGCATAACGTTAAAAAAACAACCATACCATGCATAATTTTCACGGACATATTGATTGGGTTTCGACTGTTAAATCTCCTGGACATATTACTTGGGTTAGGGCTTAAGGCCCTCTAAGGTTGTACAAAATCTAATTTTCATTGGAATTGGTGAAACAAATCGCCGGTGCAAAAAATGACCAAGCCACGCGGAAATCTCCTGGAAATATTACTTGGATTAGGGCTTTGGGCCTTGTAATGTTCAAAGAAGACCCTCCAAAGTTGTACAAAATTGAATTTGCAACGGAATTGGTCAAATGGTATTTGAACGGTAAGCTCGTAAATATGATAATTTTCCCGAAATTTATATAGAGAAAAAAAAAAATCGCCGGTGCAAAAGATGACTGAGTCTGCGATCTCCTGGAACTTGGGTATGGGCTTAAGGCTTTTGTATGTGCAAAGAAGACCCTCTAAGATTGTACAAAATTGAACTTGCATTGGAATTGGTCAAATTGTTTTTGAACGACAGGCTCGTGAAAATGATGTGTTTATTTCGAAATTTATATAGAGAAAGAACAAATAGCGGTGCAAAAATTGACCAAGCCACGCGGAAATCTCATAGTCATATTACTTGGGTAAGGGCGTTATACCTTTTAATGTGCAAAGAACATCCTCCAATGTTGTACAAACTCGAATTTTCAACGATATTGGTCAAATGATTTTTCAACAGTTGACACAAGAAAATGATGAGTTTGTTCACGACATTTCTTAAGACTTTATAAAAATAAAGAATAAATCGCAGGTCCGAATAGCGACTTAAGAACATGGAATAGTTGCTCTTACTTTCCTCGAGTAAAATCTCTCTGCCTTTAAGCCTTATATAGAAGTGATGAAGATCCTCTTAACTAATACAATTTTTTTCTTTTTTAGTACGTAGCGTCCATTTTGTAACGGTTACTGTACACGAGATCCATTCCTGCAAGATCGAGCTCTCATACGCGCGTTTTTGTCACACACACCAGCACTGATTTACATTTATATGAAGTTGGAAGACCACTGTATGCAAAAAATTAACACGTCTCGCGGAGATCTCCTGGAAATATTGCTTGGATAAGGGCTTAAGGCCTCTGTATGTGCAAAGAAGACCCTCTAAAGTTGTGCAAAATTGAAATTGCATTTAAATTGGTCAAATCGTTTTTTAACGGTAGGCTCGTGAAATGATGTTTTTTTTCTCGAAATTTACATATAAAAAGAACAAATCGCCGGTTCAAAAAATTAACAAGACATGCGGAATTCTCCTGGACATATTGCTTGGGTTACGACTTTAGGAAAGAAAACCTTCTTAAGTTGTACAAAATTGAATTTGCATTTGAATTGGTCAAATCGTTTTTAATCGGCAGGCTCGTGAAAATGATGTTTTTTCCCGAAATTTACATAGAGAAAGAATTCACAATTTAGATGACTTTTATTAAATTTACATTTCTCAAATATCGTTATTCTAGTTTATAACATTTCAAAATCTACTACAATCTATACGTTGGTCATAATTTACAGTTTAATATGAAAGCAAAGATAATTTAAGTTATTTAAGTTCTTATTTAACTAAATGGAAAACACTCCTGAGAAAATATAATAAAAATAGATTTCTTATTCAAAAATGAAACAAAAATAACCCTACATTGGTAAAAATTGTGGCTTATCTCGTTGACTAGGTATAAGCTACCTTGGCGTCCTTGAGGCATAAGCAATTGAGAAGGTCAAACTCTTTCTTATATAGTCTGACAAAAAGTGAACTCAGTAAAAATCTCATGCTAGAAAATAAAGGAAATAGAGATAGTTTCAAATTAAACAATTACTTAAGAAAACATTATCAATAAATAAGAAAAAACCATAAGAGCGTAACATTAAATCATTAATCTTGAATTGACCAAAAATTTAAGAGGATCAATCTTACACTTGAAAAGTCATGGATTTAAGTGAATCTGAAATGCTTTACCGTAAACAGAAGAAATTTAGAGAGAAATTACTTTAATGAATAAAAGATAAATAAAATTGTTTTAGAAATAATCAAAATCTGCCACATTCCACCTTCCTTAAAACAAACTTTTAAAACCAAGCAATGTAGTAAATTTTAAAATAATTTTATTAAATTTTCAGTCTGAGAACTAAATAAGATAACATTCACTGTACTGTATAATCTTTTAAATGCATAGCGCAATTTTGATTTCAATTAACATTTTGCAGAATTAAAAAGAAAATATATTTTTATTGTGACATTTTACATTATAAAATAAATTATACAACACAAAAGATTATGATAATTGAAGGTGCGGATATAATTGTACCAAAATATTCAATCCAATGAAAATAGGCATAATGTCAATTATCACATAGTTTTCTGCTTCTTTCTGAAAGTTTTCCCTATGGTATTTCCGTGTTTGTCAAAAAGAATTTCTTCATCTCTGCAATCGGCCTTTTCTGTCACTAGTGATGTATTCCGCTGTAACAGTTGTTGTTTCCGTTTTTCTGCTAATCGAACTCGATGGTTAGGCCGAAATGGTAATATATTCCCTGGGTCAATGTACATTTTGTTTGGTTCCATCTGTTCATAGATTGATACATCTTTCAAATTATGTTTCTGCCTCAGATGTTTCGTTGCTATATCTTTTCTCCAGTACTTTGACTTGCAACATGAACACTGGAAGGATAATTTTTCTGGAGTATGTACCGAATTCCAGTGTCTTTCAAACCCCATAAATTTAGCATAGACGGTTTTACATACGGTGACTGGACACTCAGTTGGTACTCCAGGCCAAAATGGCATTTGCACTGATTCAGGCGACTTAACATCAGCTTGGAGAAAATTCTCCATTTCTTCTTGAGGAACGCAAAGATCAAGAAATTCCATGCTGAAAGGATAACAACAAAAAAAAAAAAACAGGTGAAAGTAATTTTTGCTTTCAGTAGCTTATACCAAGGTAAAAATTGATTGATTGATTGATATTAATGTTATTTTATTGCAGAATTCTCTTAGAACTTCCATTGCCAAATATCCTGGGCTGGACAGCTTTAGTTTCCAGGATAACCCCTGCGCTATCAATAGACAAGAAAAACATATTGGCATGAAATAAAGAAAAGAATTGTACATAAATTCGATTCATTATTGTCAGTCAAGATTTTAAAAGATGTCCTTATTCGACAATGGAATGTTAATATTTAACTTTAACTAAACTCTTCTTATATTAAGAAAACATTTAATCAATTAAATCATATATCCTGGCCTGGACAATAAGATTTTCCCACAGAAAATAATTTCTAGGTCTTGTAAACATGGATAATAGCATTTAGGGCAACTTGCACATTGAATGCTGAAGACCAAAGTTTACATGTTATTGTCCATACATAATTAAATAGGTTAAATCTATTTCTGAGTAATATGGAACAGAATCATTAAGATAGTAACTTTATGAAATAAATAGCAATACAAAAGACTGTTAGTGATTCAAAGGGTTGTTCATAACACAAGCTAAGCCACAATGTTACCAATGCTTCGGATATTTGATTTTTTTATATACATATAGGAAAAAACTATAACTATAATTTCCAAATCATTACTTTTAGTTTTAAATATATATATTTTTTATCATTTATGTAGATTTTTAATTAACAATTTAGCATTTATCATAAACATTTTATTTGTTTTGTTTTAACAAACACACACTGACATGTATAAGTACAATATGTACATGTATATCCATAATTATTCATTGCGCATAATTATTATTTACAACAAAAATATAATGTTAAGTTAAATATACAATTCATTTAATTTATTTGTAATTGTATCTTTTAAAATAGGTACAAGTCTACAAATAAGTCTTTGTATAATATTTTATATTTTACATGTATAAGTTAATATTAAGAAGCTTGTACATTTGTATACCATTTTGGAAAATTAATTTCCATTTTGGATTTCTCAAGCAACAAATAAGTTTTGGGGTTTTTAATTTTAATACTTTAAATATGATCTATAGTGGAAACAAAATCATAATGCATTATTTTAACACATACATTTATCCACTATACAATAATGTTAATTTAAGTATGAAATTTTAAATGTTAACAATATTGAAACATTCTAATGAGATAAACTAAGTGCCAAAACTATGTTTTAGCAGATACAAATCAATGATTAATTAATAAACAACCTCTTAACTAGGCGAGAAAATCACCTTTGGTTTTACTTTGCGTCCCACCCTAGTGCGATATGGAGAAATGGGTATCTCACTATTTACATTATCATTTTCACTAATCCCTTCCCTTTCTTCATCAATAGAAACGGGAATGTTTGATAATGAAGTAGAGATATCCTCTTGATGAGAGTTTATCTCATTTTGAGAGGTTTGTTCAGTAAAGCATCTTTTGAGATGATCAACATGTACCACACGTTTTTTATGGAAGACTTGGTGCTCTATTTGATATGTTGTTATGGAAATTTTTTCCAATACTTTATATGGGCCTACCCAACCTAAACCTAACTTGGCATTAGCTGTTGGAGGATACCATCTCCATACTAAATCACCTGGGTCAAAAGACCTTGGTTTAAGACCTTTGCTATATGTTCGTTTCTGACGTGTAGCAGAAGTGTTAAGTTGCTCAGCAAACTTTTTGGTATGTTTTGGACATAGAATGCCTTAACCATTGTACATACTGAGATGGACAAAGACGTTCTAGGGTGTTAGGAGGGTCTTCATACATAACGTCAATAGGCATTGTGTTTTCCCTGCCAAACATAAGTAAATTAGGCGTACATTTTGTACTATCGTGCACACTTGATCTGTAAGCCATCATAATAAAAGGAAGATGGTCATCCCAATCGTTCCTGTTTTCATTTACGAACATGGCTAACATCATTTGGATGGTTCGTATGTTTCTTTCTGATAAGCCATCAGACCTATGATTATACGAAACTGTCCTTGTTTTTGTATACCTAGTAAGCGACACATTTCACTAAAAAGAATTGACTCAAACTCGGGACCTTGATCGGTGAGGACAATTGAAGGAATACCATATTTACAAATGAACTCAGCCACTAATTTGTCTGCTACTGTGAGTGCAGTATGATCCTTTAGGGCATAAGCTTCAGTGAATTTAGTGAAGTAGTCACTTATTACTACTACATAAAGATTGCCATCAGAAGTGGGAGGTAAAGGTCCTAGAATATCAAGGGCTATACGGTCTAAAGGCTGGTAAGATATGTCTTGTTGTAACTGAGACTTGCCGCAACCAGGGCCTGGCTTTCTTCTGGAGCACATTTCACATGAATTTACCCAGCGCTTAATATCACTTGTAAAGTAAGGCCAAAAAATTCTTTTTTTAATGGAAGCAATAGTTCGGTCACGACCGAGATGGCCAGATATTCTAGTGCTATGTAACTGTTGAAATACTTCAGACCTTAGTTTTTAAAGAAGAATAAAACGTAAAGATTTGTTGTCATGTTTTCGCCAAAGCAAGTTGTATATTAAGATTAAAGACTCCCAAAGACTCCATAATGTCCTAACATTTGTAGTATATTTAGCAATTTCAACTTTTGATGGCTTTTCCAGCAATTTTTTCTTAAGATTTAGTATGACACTGATATCTGAATCTTTGTTTTTGAAATTCTAAGAGCTCCACATTGGACCATTTACCAAACCAGTTTGAGTTTAAAACAGGAGGTTGGTTTTCAGTTTGACGTTGGTTTGAAACAATATCATTTAATTCAGTATTTATTGTACATGTTAATGTATGATTGTTTTCAGGGTGCAAGTCTGCGTTTTTGTAAATAGGTATAACTGTTTGAGAAGTAGATGGAAATTTTCCATTGTCTTTAGTACTACTTCCTTTCTGATTTGTGGACGTTTTCCCTGTAGAGCAAGACATCTTATGATTTTCATCCTCTTGATGTTTGTTTAAATAATTGTTCCACAGTCAGGACAACTTTCTCTTTTGCATGATTTTTACGGACTGGTATTCTTGATAATGCATCTGCATTAGCATGTAGGACACCTTTACGATATTGCACAGAAAAATCATAGGTGTCAAGTACAGCTAACCAGCGAACTAACATACCTTCCGTTCTTTGAAGTTTTTAAGCCATAACAGGAAGCATGATCAGTTCTTACTAAGAACTTTCTGCCCCAAAGATAGTGTCTAAAATGTTTCACAAAAGTTACTACTGCTAAAAGTTCTATAAAGGTTGTACAGTATTTTTGTTGCGATTGCTAAGAGATTTGCTAGCATTAGAGATCACTTTCTCCTCCCCGTTTTGTATTTGTGACAAGACACAGCCAATGCATGTATTACAAACAATCAGTATCTAAAATAAAATCCATCTTCTTCTGTGGGAAAACTTAGAATTGGAGGTTCTGTTAATTTATCTTTTAATTTGTCAAAACTTTCTTGACACTTTTGTGTCCATACAAATTTTCTTTTCTTTTCAGTCAGTTCACTGAGTGGGAAAGTAAGCTGAGAATAAGCAGGAATAACCTTCCTATAATATGAAGAAAGGCCTAAAAAGCTCTTAAATTCATTTTTATTATTTGGTGATGGCCAATTCTTAATATCATCTATCTTGTCAGGAATACAAGAAATGCCTTCCTCTGACACAAGGTGGCCCAAATATTGTATTTGTTTTTTGAAAAGGTGACATTTCTTTGGCTTAAGCTTCAAATTTGCAGCGCGAAAACGCAGGAAAACTTGCTTTAAATTTTGAAGTGTTGTATCGAAATCAGGACCAAAACAACTTATGTCGTCTAGATAACATAAACATTGTTTCCATTGCATACCTCTTAGTACCAGTTCAATCAAACGTTCAAAGGTCGCCGGGTATTTGATAAGCCAAAAGGCATGACCTTGAATTGAAAGTGACCAACATGTGTACTAAATGCTGTGAGAGGTTTTGCCGGCAGAGTCCATTCTTATTTGCCAATAGCCTGAAGCTAAATCTAGTGTGCAAAAGTATTTGGAACCTGAGAGGGTATCAGGAGCATCATTGATTTTTGGGAGAGGATAAGCATCTTTCTTTGTAACAGAGTTAAGTTTTCTGTAATCTAGACAGAACCGGGTTGAATTATCAGGTTTCTTTATAAGTACTACAGGTGCTGCCCATGCACTTGAACTTGGTTCAATTATATTCTTGTCTAACATGTTCTGTACTTCATCTTCAATTACTTGTTTTTGTGACAAAGGCACACGCCTTGGTGGTATTTTTATGGGTTTTGAGTCACCTACATCAATATGATGTTCTTACTATATCAGTTTGTGTAATATTCCGTGAATCATCTGTAAAAATGTCCTTAAATTCATAGAGAACATATCTTAACTGTTCTAATTGTTCTTTAGTTAGGTTATCAGAAGCTTCATGAAGTAAAGGTTGTAAATGACTAGGAAGCTCACAAGGCATGACGCTTGTTGTTTCCTTATTGTCAAGTTCACTTACGGAAGATACAGACTGAATGTTGCCTATAGTTAGATTCTTGTCAAATTTTGACGATTTGATTTGTTAATTTATAAGTGACACTGGTATGTTCATTGGTCAGATAAACAAAGGCTTGGGCCCTAAGGAACCCTCCTTTTTTGCATCATTAATGGGTTAAAAAATGCCTTTTGAAACCAAAAAAAATGTGGGCCCTCTATTTTGGGGGGTGAACAGTAAATTTGATTTTCTAAAATTTTTATGCGGGGGGATCCTTTTGGAAAAGTGAGTTGATGTTGTTGTTTCTTTTGGGAAAAGATTATTTTTGTGTTTTTCCAAAAAATCATTCAAGCCCTTTTTCCAAATTTCAATTTACATCAAAAATTTTTAAGGAAATTTGTCCTAACCAAAAAACGGGCAAAATATCTTCAAGGGGCCCCCACAAGGGAAAGT